TATATATATATATATATATATATATAAATATATAATATATATATATATATATATATATATTATATATATATATATATATATATATATATATATATATATATATATATATATATATATTATATATATATATATATATATTTATTATATACATGTTTTTGTGTGTGTATTTGTATGTGTTTTTGTGTGATACAGATTTTATTTAACACTACTTTCACCTTTCCTGTCTCAGAAATATGATCTCAATCAGAATCATAATGAAAAACAAAATATGAAAACATGTACCTTGTTTTACATGTACACCCTCTGCAGGTACATTGTAACACTGGACACAGAAGGAAATATAATGGTGCTGTGTGGGGTGACAGGACTTACTGTCTGGGAGAGCACCAACGAGCTCTCAGTCTTCGACATGACACTCCTCCAAAGTGACACTCAATCAGCACAATTCATGTTTGTCCATCAGAGTCCAGATTCTGAAGGATGTTTACTGCGCATTATGTCCTTCCCAGGTATGGTCCTTTTCCTTTATATTTTTCCTTTTCTAATTTTTTGTTGAAATACAAGTATTAAGGTAGAGTAATAAAAAGCAGTAAAATAGGACTGACAGACAATTTAAAAACTTATTATAGTATTTCAAGTTTGTAGCTTTTATAATATTTTGATATTGATATTATCACTTTATAACAATATTCTTGCAGGTTTTACAAAAGTATACGAGTTGAATGTAAATGAGAGTACCAGCCTGGTGCACACAGGTGAAGGAGCTGAGTCCATAATGTTTCTAGAGCCCGATTTTGACTTTATAACGCATGCCACATCTTGCCTGAAGGTGAAGAGCATTGTGGATGGAGTCCCTGAAGCAAGGTCAGTATAGGGTTATTTCCATTTCTTCATCTTACACTATGGGTTTGTCACACTTGAAAATCCTGTATATTTTACAATCTAGTAACCAGATAATATTTGACATTCAATTGCTATCCTAAAAGTAGATAGTGTCTGGGCTATATTGCTATCTGCTCTGTATATGTGAATGAAAAGACACTCTTACTTATAGATGTTTATTATGTGTAGATACTATTTAAATTATATAGAGATATAAGAAAAATTATTAGGGACCAATACTTTGGTGAGTGTGTGAGTGGGTGTGAACACATGCAGAGAGACTTACTAACCAGGATACCGTTTTTAACAGATTAGCAAAGCTTTTGCGCAAGAGGAAATTTGTAGAAGCTGAAGAATTTTGCAAGAGGTTTGGGTTGGATGTAGAAGAGGTTTATAAAGCAAGAGCCAAATATGTGTGTGAACTGATGAACCCCTGGAACACATCAGCTGGAAATGTAACATTGGCTGAGCTGGAGGGGCATGGCAGGTAAGAACATCATGGGCCATGTGGGACCTGGTGAGCTTTGATGGCAAATACTTGTATTCATCAGTAAATTCTATAAAGAAAGTGTAGCAAACAGAGGTCATATTGAACATTCTTCTGTATGATAAGAATTGAAAAAAAATTTAAAACAAAGAAAAAGTATCAGAATAATAATTGTTTGCATGCTTAGCCTTGTTTAAACTTCGAAAAGTATATTTTTGAGCTAGTTTGATGCATATAATGATCATGTTAAGAATTTGTCCACAAAACTAGGAAATGGGCCAATGGGAAATGCATATGTGCTCAGTGGCATAGATGGGGCACAAGGAGTAATATTAAGGTAATAATGGCATTTGAATAGCAGCTCAAAATTTATATCAAGAAAAATTTGAATCTAAGACAAAATGACAGAAGGTACCCTGCCTGTGAATAGACTAACAGTAACCAGTCACTGATCTCACTTCACAAATTTTGCCAATACAGACTTATTTTAACCCAGTGCCGACTGGAAAATGGTGCGTTCGCTTTAATATTGTTTTGTTAAATGTTTTCTACATAGATGGTTCTGCCATCGCTTAGCCAGAAAGGAGTCAATTAGTAGATCTTGTGACCTCACCTTTCCTTGAAGTAGTAGGAAAATACTTTTTTTATTAATGCTATCAATATTGACACTGTTGATATTGTTATAAATATTGCAGTTAGTATATTGTTATTGACATTACTTGATTTGTGATAAAAAATTATCACAAATCAAAGATAAGGGTAAACGGGCAAGACAGGTAGTTCTTGTAATTGGCTTATTGGTGACTTGTGGAACTATCTATATGTAAAAACAATTACTAAATTAAACACAGTGGACATGGCATGTACATACATGCTATCCTTGGCAGCATGTATTTAATCCATTTATGATGGATGTCACATCTATGTGACACATGGAAAAATAAACATTACTGGGCCCGTGTGACGCTGGACAGGAGCTTGATTCCATCACGGGCCGCGGTTGGTGTGCTGGCTGATTCCAGGCCAGCCCTGTGCACCGATTTTGAAGCTGCCTGGAAACCATTATTTTCAGCTTTAGAGTATACTGTTGTTAGTGGGTTAACACTCTGTTCAGAGTTTCCAAGTTTCCTCTAAAATGGCTGAGGAATTTTAAACAACTAAAGAAGCATATTTCTCTTTGCATTTATTCCTTTTATTGATCATGCAATTCTTACTAATGCAAAGAAAGAAAGAAAAAAGAAGAAGAAAAAGTATGGCATATATATATATATATATATATATATATATATATATATATATATATATATATATATATATATATATATATATATATATATATATATATATATATAATATATACTTGTAAAAAAAAAAAAAAAAAATGTTTGAAGTGCATTTTACTCTGTTCTTTTTAAATTATTATACAGAGTTATTATTAGCGAGAATACCTGTATATCAAAAGGATGGTAATGATGTTCTTGCCTTCAATCCACAGTTGGGCAGATGAGTTGCTGGCAACTTTAGGGAAGATTCGAGATGCAGAATTTGTTACTGTCCTTTGTGTGGAAGCTGCTCTTCCAGATATCATTACAACAAAGAAGATTTTGAATTATGCCAAAGAAAGACTTGCAAACACAACAAAGGTTAGATTTGCTATATAGCATTTCCATGTTTATGCCTGTCATGGAAGTAAGTTGAAAACTCTGTTTACATACTTAAAAGTGATCATTATTATATTAAGATACTGTAGAACATGGCCTTTTTTAAGAATTACAAAGTAGGGGTCACATGAAGAGCAGGTCATTATTTTGATGGTCACAGTTTTAAATGCCATACTTACCATGCTTACATCATAACTGAGCTGATAGCTTGCTGCTGAAAAGTGTGTTAATATTAAAGTAGACAGACCATTTTTATTATAATTATGTTCAGCATTGTGTAACTTTTCAATTTTTGGTGTCAATATAGTGTCAGAATCTATTTCCTCCTCTAATCAGCTGAATGCCTTTTAACAGTCAGAGGAAGGGGATCAGCTGAGTACCTTAATGCAGAAAGTGAGTGAGAGCACATATAGACTCAGAACATTTGAAACCATTTTCCCCTCTTCGGACATTCAGCATTGGCTAGCTTTCTCACATACAAACATGCTGGAAGAATTCATGGAGCATTTAAGTCGGGTAAGTGGGAGAATAAAAGTGTGAATTATTTGATATTCCCCCAAAAGGTAAGCATCAAAATCTAAATGAACATGTACATATGATTATGCTGGTAATTACTTTTCAAGGTTATTGTAATTAATTTCTTTAACCCATTCATGATGGGACCTTTGAAACCATACAGAACTGCATACTAAGATGTGTGCAGAGTCGGCTAATTAGAGGCACAGATAATACACTTACCCTGCTCTCTGTACTCTTGGTGTGCTACAAAAACATTTGTTTAGCTAAAGAGGCTTTGAGCCTGCTTTTTGAGTGGCTGTTTTTCCACAGTGACTAAAGCCAGGGTCAAAAAAAGAACAAGTAATTTAGAATGCACAACTTTGAACAGGCTTGACCACACATGATGTGACGGGATGTCATCCCAGCATGAGGGACAGTCAGTCATGACATGATAAGATGGCACCTGTCGTGAGTGGGTTAATGACTTGGCAAACATTTAACCTTTATGTGTATATATCTATATATATATATATATATATATATATATATATATATATATATATATATATTTATATATTTATATATTTATATATATATATTCAAACTGAAATAAAATGTTTACTTACATATCTCATTATAAAGCATAATTTTCTTTATGTGTACTCTTTAGGGTAACTTGGATGTCGCATCAACAGTGTGGCATAGACATCTGTATGAGTTCAGTCACCTCATAGATCAAGAATGTGTGCAGCAGATTCTAACAGCCTTTCCACATAGTATACCATCAGCAGACCTCTGTAACTGGTTGCCAAGAAATGTGTTATCTGACCTAGTGAGACTGTGTCCAAGCTCCATGGAGATAATAGCTTGTTGGGGAGATGGTCGAGTCAAGTAAGGAGAGGGTCTTTTGTGTAAAGATGGGATTGATGATAAGGAAAAATATGAAACTGGTAGGAAGTAACATTACTATGTGAGCTAGAAGTGCAATATGCAAGGAAGTATTTATAACAACTGTCCTTACTCAACAGGAGCCTTGAAGTAGTTGAAAAAGCAGCTTGGCCTGCCAATGGTCTTGCTTTAGCCAATACAATCATCTCTGTTTTAGAGAATGTGGCTGCAGATTTTCAAGCAGGTTTGTTCACTTTTTTTCTTTTACTTAGAAAAACAGTACCAGGATAGATTATATTTCAAGTAATACATTAAAAATTATTAGCAAGTATATAACTATGGCACCTGTTTGCTGAAGTTTTTAATTGCATATATGATATGCATATTATTTTACTGCACACTGCTATTAAATTTACTATTTATGTACTAATTTTGCACAGTTTAGATATTGCCAACTCATACTTTTTGTTCTTCAGGTGGAAATATTGAAGTCCAAATGGCTGTCTTGGTGGCCCAATGGAAGGCACACTCACCTTCCTCAGCCCTTTACCATCTCCGTCAAACTGCTCTTGCTCTTCAGGACCTGAAGCTTCTAGCAGAGGAGTTCAGGATCAAGATTGAATTTAATCAGTATACACAGGTAAGACAGTAAGAACTTTATCTAAATTAAAATCTTTGAAAAAAAAATTCTGGGTGTTAAGAGTTTGAGGGTTATACATTAAATATTGGAATCTTCTCTTTTTTCAGGAAAATAAAGAAGAAGTTGTAGCTGCACTGTTGGATTGGCTTGTGTGTGGCGAAGAAGTTGCCCCACTGATGAAAGGCTTTTTGCGCTCTTACTTGGTCAGGTATGAGCTTGACTGCGATGGCACGCTTGCTCGTTATGTGTTGGAAACCCTGGCCACTGCGGACCAGGACTGGTGGTCATGGCAGGAAGCTCCATGGGAAGACAAGCTCTATGCAGTTATCCATGTTATTTCTGATGCTCAGGTAAGCATATCTTTATTTTAGTAATTCATGGAGGGCAATGATAGACATTTCTAGAAGGATTTATGCACTGAAGAAAGAAAGGGTAGGAAGAATAATTAAATGCCATGGATAATACATTCATGGAAAATTATTTTCAGGTCCGTGCACAATGCATAGTAGAATGCATTCATGTTGCACCTGTGCCTTGGAGTGAAGGAACAGAAGAGATGTTTAAACTAGGTCTGACTCTTAACACATCCTTAAGTTCACAACTCGAGGACCAACGACGGTTTGTAGGGCTAAAGCTAGTCTTGCGAAGATATTCCCTACATTTGACCAACATCAGTGACCCAAGAAATGCTGAGGTTTGTGTTTTCTGACTTGCTGTTTCTTCAGTTACATTTTATGGTCTTCTGCAGAATTAGAAATTGTTATTAGTTAAAGTTTTTTTTTTTTTTTTTTTTTTTTTTTTTCAAACATGAAACTGTGTTGCATTCCTCAGATGATGCTCCGAAATATTCTCTCTCAAGAAGGGGATACAGTATTGGAAGATGCGTTACAAGTTATCAACACATACAAACACCTGACTCGCATTGATGCCTACTTCTATAGGATTATACATTTCCTTGTAACCAGGTAAAGTTTAAGAAAAAGAAGGGTGAGATAGAGCTATAAGCTTGCCATAGCTCTTTCTCTCCCTCCATTTGCCTTTCTTGCTGTTTCTTTCCCTTTCTTTTCTTTTTCACTTCACTTATTGTCTATCTCGCTCCCCATCCGTCTCTGCCTTTTTTCTGTCTCTTCTTTGTTGCATTATTGTGTTTTTCCTTTTTTCTTTATTGATTTTTTATCTAATTGAATTGATTTCACTCACTAATATACACAAATGTCAGCTTCATGATTTCATGATTTTGTTGTTGTTGTTTGTTTGTTTGTTTGTGTGTTTTATAATTATTTGAACTTGAATAGGATTACTAATAGTGACTCAACCTTGTAGTATATAAATGCCTGCTCATCACTTGCAGCAATATTGATGCAGCAAAGTCACTGCTTCAGGGTTTAGATGACACCTTGCAGAGGCAGACCAGCCAGAAGCTAATTGCCTATGCTATCCAGTACCTCATGTGCCCGTGCAGAGGACAGAAGGTGCTGTGACACTGTTATGTTGTGTTTATGTTTATTTTATGTTATAGTCCTATTATTATTATTATTATTATTTTAGTTATTATTATATTGCAAGTGTAATTATATTACTTTTTTTTCTTTTATTATTGTTGTTGTTGATATTGTTATGAATATTATTATTATGATGATGATTCTCATAAAATTGTTTGTGCTAGGTTTTTGTGAAAATATTTTTAAAAGGTTTTAATGAAGCTTTCTCAGAGTTGTGTGTGGGGGGGGGGGGTACTTTGAATTTTCATTAATACCCATTATTATGTCTCTTCAGGGTCAGGATCGCTGTAAGGCAATAACTGGCGGTGTTTTGGCTTTGGAAGCAATTTTGAAGAAGTGGTATAAAAAAAATGGTACACTAACAGATGACAAACTTTTTGCAACCATCCACAATGTGCACACATTGCAAGTAAGTTCTTTTTCCCGGTAGATTACATTTTGTTCTCACAAAAATGGCTTAGTGACTTTGTTTGCATCGCCACAAAGTATTGAATACTTTAGTGTGAGTAATTGTCATTTTTTGTGTTTTTTTACTCATCAATTTCCCAAGCAAACATACTACAGTTGTTAACCAATATCATAATTATTTTTCAGATTTCATTTAGATAAGTACCTATAAATCTGCATTTTTTCCATGAAAGCCTAATTTGTTATAATATATATAATTCTTCTACAGATTCATTATGAGATCTACCCAACTCTAAGAGAACTAGAGGATTCTAGATGCTGCAAAAAACTGTTCAGCAATCATGTGACTTGCTGGTACCAAGAGCGCATACAGGAAGCAGAACCCCAGCAGGAGCCATCACCCAACCAAACCAAGTCAGATGTCTCCACTGTGGGCAAGGGCTTGGTTAGAGTACCATGCTCTGAACCATTAAACCAGGAAAACAAAAATGTAGAAAGCAACCAAGAAGGGCAGATACCATGGAAGGGTATAGA